TATATATATATATATTTTTTTTTTTCTTTTTTTCACTGAAATAAATATTTGTTTAAATACGGGCGAAATAAAATTTTTTTTTCCTAGCAAATAAGCTATCTATTTTATATTTTTTGCAATTTATGAGATACATTTCACAGAAATAAAAGATATTTCACAAAAATAAGATATATTTCATAGAAATATATATTTCGTTATCACAATCAAATTTCGTGAATAACATTTGCTTCGCAATACTTTGACATTTTTCTCTCAAGATAGTAAAATTTTTCGATACTTTCGATACTAGTAAAATCGTGCTTCCCATGTACTTTTTACCTTTTTCATAGTTCTAAGAATTAGAAAAAGATAAGAAATAAATTAAACCAAGATTACAGTTAATCTACATTGATAGAAATACATATCAGGCATTCTAATCTGTTCTAGATGCGCGTCAATAGTGAAATACAAGGATCAACAAGTTAAAGAGATTATTTCTGCCAATAATTTGGTAAAACGAAAACCGGTTCCGAATAATGTCGTTTAAAAAAGCTAAAAGCTTTTTGTTTATAAAAGATTTTAATGGGGCAAGCTTGTATTTTTGATCATCGAAATTGTATCTGTCCGCATAAGGATAGCCCAAAGATAGGTCCTCGCTGATCGCTGTTCAAATGCGTGACGAACGTGCGAGCGGTGCGTCTCAGACACGAGGCGATCTATTGAAAATTCACGTGCCAACGGCGCAACCGCGGCCACGCGAGTGGAATTTCAAAGGAGCGAAGTTTCGCAGGAACGACGTTTGCGGCTCTACTCTGTCGCTCGCGCGGACGCTGCGTATAATCGACTCGCGGCTCACGATATCGCGCGCTTGGGATTATGCATTTCGATTATTAAGTATTTATTTCCATTGTTAATGAATAAATTAAATCCCCTCTTTGTGTGAGAAAATAAAAAAAAACGCACGTTTCCTTAAGGATGACAGATGAAACATTTCTTTAAGAATATCGTGAAAAAAGCCTTCTTTTTAAAATAGACGCACAGAAACAAATATTTTATCGAAGTCTCCTATATACTCTAAAAATTCAATTATATATAGATATAGGCCTAAAAATAATTTTGTTGGATCATTAAGATAATTACATAGGAATCTCAAGTATGTTGAATAATACAGCAGAAAGTTTTGACGTTCTGATCAACCAATTTGATGGTTGAACAAAATTATTTTCAAATTTGTATCTAGCTGAATTTTTAAGTACTTGAGCAAAACTAATCTTTTTGTGCGTTATTCAGAAAATACGAAAATAATTAATAATTGATAATAATTGATAATAATGTAATAATAATGTATAATATTTATTATTACATTATATATAATAACATTATATATAACATTATATATAACACATTATATATAATAATATTATGTATAATAACATTTTAATAATGTAATTATTTGAAAGTTCAAAATAATTATATTGACGGTAAGAAAAAATTTATCCCGGATTGGATGTAACGTATTGCGATGTAAAAAAAAAAAAAGTAAATCTGGGACTTAAGTGTGTAAAAATCCAAACTTAATTACATACTGAGCTTAATTCTAGATATCAGTAGTTGATTTTACAAATAGAATGCATTCTATAGTATGTGTCGAGTATATTATATTGCTACATCGCGTTATAAATCAGAGCGGTCGAGGTATCTGTAATGTATCATTTGTAGCCTGAATGTAACGGAGAGATCGCGATACCGCGATATGTTCGCTGGCAGGTGCTGCGAGTTGATGCATCGTAGATTAACGAGTTTTCCTTTTTTTTTCTTCTTCGTTTTTCTTTAAAAAGTATTTAGTTTCGAATCGATCGATGTCAAGTTAGACGAAGCGCGATCCTTTTTACTTAATCGAAATGGAAATTTAAAATACTCGAAGCTCGCGACCCAAGTGGCATTTGACCCTCGACACGTTCAACATAAATTTGCATAGCTTGCGTTATTTGCGGCGATTGGCGCAATGACCAAGTTATATACCTTCTTCAAGTAATTAATGCCAGCCGATAAAATTATTTTTTTATCCGATAACCTTAGTTAAACTTTAAAGTACACATTTATAATCAGGAATAATTAGATACGCTTAATTAGACGTTATCTGCTCTGTAAATTATACGAGAAACTTACAGAAAAAAAAAGTAGTAACTGTGAATATATGTTGTTTGTTAATTCATCGGAAATAAAAACTTTTGGCTCGAGTTTCAATGAAGAACAATGAGCTTTTAAATATTTCTCTCTCTCTCAATCTTGTAAATTTTTTTATAAGAATAATATGAAACATAAAAGTCAGAATAGTAATTTATGAGCATATATAATATTATGAGACGTATCATTCATAAACGATACGTTATTACAAAATCCATTAAAGATATAGAAACTATGTAGTTATAGTCGTCCCGTTTCTGCAACTGCTATTTCTTTCACTTACAAAAAACAAATTGCTCGAAATATTTGACATTCCAAGATTTCTGTTCTTATATTTTATGTATCTCCTTTACTTGCGTTAAAACTGCGAAATTATTTATTTTCATTTACTTTCTCTCTTTATCATATTATCATATTATTCGACCATTTTCTTATTTATTATATTTTTTAAAGTCATTAAATGATTATTAGTAATTTTAATATTTTTAATCACATTCCTAATTTTAGAGTATCTCGAATTATTCATTTATTATTTATATGATTATTGATTTATTGATTTACATACGTATTAAATTTATACAATGGCGTGCAAGTTTCCGGCCATTGACACATTTTGTACTCTTATTTATAAAAAAACAAAGCCTGACATAAATTTTAACCAACTTTATCAGATGTTAGTACAAGATGTGGAAATTTTGTACTAAATTTTGTACCTGATTAAAATTTTATCAGGCTTTTTTTTATAAACACTGGCCGAAAATTTTTATACGCCACTGTACGTAATAATTGCTACATATTTCATCAATGCTAATGAAATCGTTTTATATAAAAAAAAATAATAAAATAATAAAATGGATATTAAATTCTGCGGTTTTTTAAAAGAGAATAATCAAGTCGAATGAACGTTCTATGAAAGCAGCTCCAAACCCAAGCTTCGCGGTTGTTTATAAGGAGATTTTTTTTCTCTCGTCCATCTGGAATATGCTAGGGTGAATGTGTAACCTTCACGAGTATAGCCGACAGGAGGCACGTGCTACCAACGTCTTCTGGCTTATCCCTCTTTCCTCTACACCTCAAGAATACTCGGCAACCAAACAACTGCGGCAGCTGTTCTGAGCAAACTGCGCGAGAGGAACACGTCTCCAAATTCGTCTGTCGTTCTTATTTCACGCTGTCGAAAATTATTATTCTTCGGATAGCGTAATAATGTACTAATGCTTGAAGAACTGATATCGACGAAAGCAACGATTATTTTATGAAGCACAAAAAAGGATAAAATAAAAAAAAAACATGT